ATCCAAAATCTATAAGAAACTTAAGCAAACAAGCAAAAACCAAACAACGCCATTAAAAAGTAAGCAAAGTACAAGAACAAACACTTCTCAAAAGGCATACATGCATCCAAAAAGCATATGAAAAATGGTCAATATCAATAATCATTAGAGAAATGAAAATCAAAACCATGATGAGATACCATCTTACACCAGTCAGAATGGCTATTATTTAAAAGTCAAAAAATAACAGATGTTAGTGAGGTTGTAGAGAAAGAGAATGCACATATACCGCTGGTGGGAATGTAAATTAATTCAGCCATTGTGGAAAGCAATGTGACAATTTCTCAAACAACTGAAAACAGAACTGTGATTTGACTTACAAATCCTATTACTAGGTATATACTCAAAGGAATATAAATTGTTCTATCAAAAAGACACATGTACACGTATTTCATTGTGGCACCATTCACAATAACAAAGACATGGAATCTAGATGCCCATAAGAGGTGAACCGAATAAAGAAAATATGGTACATATACACCATGGAATACTATGCAGCCATGGAAAAGAATGAAATAATGTGCTTTGCAGCAATGTGAATGCAGGTGAAGGCCATTATCCTAAGTAAATTAACACAGGAACAGAAAACCAAATATCACATGCTCTGACTTATAAGTGGGGGCTAAACATTGAGTTTACAGGGACACAAAGAGGGGAACAATAGATACTGGGGTGTACTTGAGGAAGGAGGCTGGGAGGAGAGTGAGGATTGAAAAACTACCTATTGGGTATTGTGCTCATTACCTGGATGACAAAATCATTTGTAAGCCAAATCTCCATGATATACAATTTACTTATGTAACAAGCCTGCACGTGTACCCCCTGAATCTAAAATAAAAGTTGGAAGGGGAATAAAATCAACCAGAATATGACCCAGGATTCCTGGATTTAAAGTCTAGTCTTCTCCACTACACTTATTCCTTCTCAGAAAAACAAAAACAAAAAACAAACAAACAAAAAACATGTTTGTTTTTAAAGTATATTCTCTGACTTCTTATCTATGTTTAATAACTAGGACTGCCTAATAGTTCTTTAGGATGTCATTTACTAGCCACTTTAAAAAATACCATTATTTGGATCATTAAATATGTAAGTAAGAAGTATCATTTTTAGGAAGTAGTAGTATCTGCCAGGGCACACCATTCCCTAGCAAATAGTACTACTTTCGATCTGGTGTGTCACCAGATCTATGAAAACTTTAAGAGAAAGTTTTATATTAAAGGGAAATGTATATTGTTGTTATTGTTATTTTATTCCCAAGTGTGTGAGGAAATCCAATAATGATTTTGGCTTCTTGCCGATAGACTGAGCTTAAACTGAAAAAGTAGTCTTCAATGATACTTGGGTTTTTCAAATCTAGGATGTAGAAATTTGGGGAAAAAAATTCTTTTTTTTTCTTTCTTTTTTCTTTTACCTTTAAAAATAAAGTCAGGGTCTCACTATGTTGTGAAGGCTGATCTTGAACTCCTGGGCTCAAGTGATTCTCTTGCTTCAGCTTCTCAAAAGTGCTGGGATTACACGCTTGAGCCACCATGCCCAGCCAAAAAATTTTTAATGTGGGAATTTTTAATGTCACCATAACAACTACTATAACAACTATAATAATGAAAATGTATAACTCAATTCTAACTCTTGTGAAATATCTGACTTTTCTCCACAGCTGCTATAGTTAGATGTCCGTGGCAGGAGTGGGGTGGGGATATGCCACACACACACTATTTCAGAATACGGTTGTCTCTTGTGAGGAAACAGTGGTGGCTAGATGTACTTAGTTCATATAGTTTTTCCAACGGCCCCCTCACCCCAACCTCCACCAAAAGATACTATATTCTCAATGGCTATGGCAAAGCATTCTAGAGCGGCCTCTGGCCCAGTTTTAGTCACATGCCTATCTCTCATACAATCACTGCAGCCTGAAGAATGGAGGACGAACTGGCCAGACCTGGTTACCTGGACCAGAGATTGTGTTGAATCAATACAAGAAAGAAGCAGTAAGGGAAAATTTGTTGAGAGTTTATAGAGTACTACAGTCACTAGTTATTTGTAACAGACTGACTCCTTTTTAACATCATACTTCAAATGTCTTTCATGCATTGGTCTCAATGCTCCCTGAAGAGTCTGCTGATTCCCAAATATTGATAATGCCACTGAGCCCAGATTTGTGCCTAGGAGAAAGGATATTTATCCTATCCGACATTTTGCTTGAAAAGGTCACATTCTGAGATCAAATGCTGACTAGAAAGATGATCCCCCATGGAAAAAAGAACCCTCTTCCTCTAGAATCTTTTCTTATTTTCCCAAACGTGCAAGTCAGAAATACAATCATTGTTTTTTTGATTCACAATTCATATTAGTGCACAAAAGTGGTTTCAAGTATTTTTAACATTTTAATGTTTATATACCATTAAGTGTAAACTAATTGTACACTTGTAGCATTTAAAGAACTTGCTCAACAGCTGATAGTTAATGTTACTTCTATAATGTAATTTTCTGTAAAAACTTTTTTCTCTCTCTTTTATTGCATTTAGCTTACACCTCCTTTATACAACATTACTAAGATGGAAGTTCCAACGGCAATATGGAATGGTGGACAGGACATTGTGGCTGATCCCAAGGATGTCAAAAATTTACTTCCTCAAATTGCCAACCTTATTTATTACAAGCTGATTCCACACTACAATCATGTGGATTTTTACCTTGGAGAGGATGCACCTCAGGAAATTTATCAAGACCTAATTAGATTGATGGAGGCATATTTAAAAAATTAAATGTACTTTCCTTTCTCTAAGCAAGTGGATTTTCATAGCAATAATGAGATGAACAGACACTAGAATGATCCCCAGTGATTTCCACCTTCTAGTATCTATGCCTTTGTATAATCTCCTCCTCTTCAACGTGGGTGGGATATGAGACTTTGTTCAAGTCAACAGAACTGGCAAAGGTGTAAGATGTCACACCCTTGATTAGGTTATGTCATATGGCAAAGGTGATAAGATGTCAATCCTGATTATATTATACAAGAAGTCGGCCAGGCTTGGTGGCTCATGCCTGTAATCCCAGGACTTTGGGAGGCTGAGGCTGGAGGAGCACTTGAGGTCAGGAGTTCCAGGCCAGCCTGGCCAACATGGTGAAACCCTGTCTTTACTAATAGTACAAAAATTAGCTGAATATGGTGGCACACACCTGTAATCCCAGCTTCTTGTAAGGCTGAGGCAGGGGAATCACTTAAACCCGGGAGGCAGAGGTTGCAGTGAGCAAAGATCACGCCACTGCACGTCATCTTAGCAGATTGGAGCAAACTATTCTCCTTGTTAGCTTGATGGAATAAACAGATATGTTGAGCAAACTGCCTTACAAGGAACTGAGCATAGCTTTTAGAACCTGAGGGTGGCCTCCAGCTGATAAAACAGCAAAATACCAAGGCCTTCAGTCACATAACCACAAGAAAATGAACTCTGCCCAAACCTGAATAAACTTGGAAGCCCATTCTTCCCTAGTAACCCTCCATTGCGCGAGCATCCTGGTCAACACCTTGATGGTAACCTGGGGAGATCCTGAGCAGAGGACCCAGTTATACCATGTCTGGACTACTGACCCACAGAAACGTGAGATAATAAATGTATATTGTTTTAAACTGCTAAGTTTGTGGTAATTTGTTATCAGCAATAGTAAACTACTACTACTATTTATTATTGTATAACAATTACATGAATTATGTATTTGATTATATTAATCATATAACATGATATATAATTTATAATTATATTATATATAATATATTAAAATATAATTATGATGTATTAAAGATTAGATAACAATGTATAATAAATATGTAATATACTGCATATATGTTACTGTTATAATAAAATTATATATAATATTAATATAAGATGGTAATTATTATTCTGTCTCTTTGGTTAAAAGTTTGATAGATCTAAATTCTTGAGTAAATATATTTTAAAAAATATTTTCACATATTTTCTGCTAATTCAGTAACCTCTGTCATTGGAGAATTTGTTCTATAGATTGATTTTTCTCCTGGTTATGGGTCCTGCCTTATTGCATGCTTAATAATTTTATATTGAATGCCAGACATTGAATTTTGCATTGCTGATTGCTGAATTTGTTTTTATTTCTTTATATAGGGTTGGAAAACAATCACCCAGGCATAGAGTCAATGATCAATGAACATATGTTTGGTGACTGGGAGTGTCAAGTGTTATGAAGCACTTGATTGGTCCCTGCAGAAATTGGGGTATTTTACAACATGTAATTAATATAAACTTGGCTAAGACTCATTTATGAAGAATTTCCTGGCATAAATAAGGGGGCTGTAGACATGATGGGGAGGGTACTAAAGGATATCGGAGTCTTGGCAGGGGAAGGCTGGCTGGCAGGGCACCAAAGGCTTCACAGGGAGACACCTCTTTGGTGACTATGGCATATCAGACTGGCATATCCTGACACTGATCTTGTCACTGCCCCAGAAATGACTGCACTTACACATGCTGATTCATGCAACTGAAATGTACAAGGAGATGCAGAACATAAAACAAAACACATGTTTATAATTTTTATCAAAAACTGTAATTTGGCCAGACTAGTGTTTTGTTTTCCTGTAATAAAACACATGGGAAATTCTAGTATGAAACTGTTGCTTGGTGTACATGGAAAAAAAGAAGTATATGGCTTGACAAAAATCATCATCCCCTCCACAATCATTCAAGTTCGCTGAGCCTTTTCCATAAGGAAATAATAGTGTAAGCATTTTACATGAATTGTATCATTTAATCTTCATGATAGCCTTATAACCTGGTATCATTCTTATCTCTTCTGTACAGATTAGGAAACTGAAGTTTAGAGATACTGGGCAACTTGCTCTAAAATATTAGTTCTCTGAACTCTGAAACCTTGACTTTAGGTAATCAAGCTCTTAACCTTTATGCTTTAATGTTATAAGTATGGATTATAAACTAGCCATTCAGAACAAGAAGAATGATAAGGAAAACTCTGTTCCTGCCCAAGTGGCGCTCAGAGTAATAAAAATATCAGATACTATACAGCTATAGTTTGAGTATCCTATATCCAGTTTGCTTTTGACCAGACATATTTTGGATTTTGGAGTATTTGCATATCATAATAAGATATGTTAGGGATGGAATCCAAGTCTAAACATAAAATTCATTTATGTTGCATATACACTTTATACAAATAGGCTGAAAGAAAGTTTGTATGGCATCTTAAATAATTTTGTGCATGAAACAGAAGTTTTGACTGTGTTTTGAGTGTTACCTATCATATGAGGTCAGATTTTCATTTGTGGCATTTCAGTGCTCAAAAAGTTTTAGATTTTAGAGCATTTCAGATTTGGGATTTTTGGATTAGGAATGTTCAACCTACACTAATTTACATACTTAAACCTTTAATTTTAATTTAATAATTGTGATGAATCCATCAAAAAGTACACCTCACCAGGGTGGACAGAGAAGTCTTCTCTGAAGACATGAAATTTTGGCTGATATCCATGACATCTGCCAGATAATACAGGTAGGGGACCACCTCAGGTGGCGAGGAGCTAGGCTAAATTAAGAAATTAAAGAAGCCCAAGGAGTCAAAGAGAGAATGGGGTGAGATGAGCTCACAGGGATAAGCAGAGTCTGGTTTTAGGCCCTCCTAGCCACTCGCAGGATTTTGAAAACAAAATCATTGAAGTCTTATTCTCAAGAATACTTAAAAGATAAGATCACATATGTGATTTTAAATGATGATAATAGCTATGATGTGAAGAAAAAAGAACTTCCTGAGACTGGGTAATTTATAAAGGAAAAGTGTTAGTTGACTCACAGTTCTGCAAGGCTGGGGAGGCCTACAGAAACTTACACTCATGGTGGAAGGGGAAACAAACACATCTTACATGGTGACAGACAAGAGAGAAGTGCAAGCAGGGGAAACGACAGACGCTTATGAAACCATCAGATCTCATAAGAACTCACTCAATATCATGAGATCAGCATGACGGACACCACCCCCATGATCCAATAACCTCATACCAGGTCTCTCCCTTGAGATGAGATTTGGGTGGAGACACAGCCAAATCGTATCAGAAAATATTTCACTAATAATGATATTGACTATATGTGGAAATAATATTTTGAACATATTGGTTTAAATAAAATGTATTTTTAAATTTTATTTCACCTTTTATACTTTTTAAAAATGTGGGCATTAGGAAATTTAAATTAAATACCTAATTCACATTATATTTCTATTGGACCATGCTAAGATAGTGAAAAGAGTAAGTTAACTATCCCCTAAAAATTCTGGTTATTTCTAGGAAAATGCAATAACTCTGCATTTACAAGATTTTTTTTAATGTATGGAAAAATGCAAGAATGCAGACTGTGTAAAAGATATCAGATTGTGCTATGGTGGTTACTAGGTTTAAGAATAATTTGGAGGCTGAAGAAGAGAAAAACTGGTATCAGGTAGCAATTTTTAAATTGTATTCGTGTGCTTTGCAATCTGTAAATAGCAATGTATCTCTTCCAATTTAGTTAAAAAACAGGACAAGATTGAATTTTTCCTGTGAATTTCCTGTTTTCTATTAAATTTAGCAGGTAATGTTAAGAAAAATTTCCTTTGTAACAGCAAAGAAAGCCAGTGGAATTTATAGCCAAGTTGGTAGCATATCAAAGCAAAATACCTGATACATAGTAAGTACTTAATAAATAATAAATAATTCACTATTATTATTTATAATAACATTATTAGTATTCCTCAGTAACTAAGCTGCATTCTCTGGACTTCCAGAATCATCTATTCAATCACTCATTTACTCACTTAGCAAAAATTTTTGATGGTGATGGTGATTAGAGGAGGAATGAAATCAAGAAACTCTAACCCTAAAAACCATTTATCTATTTTCAGGGGTGTTGGTGAGATTTGAAGGTGATTTAATAGTAACTCAAAATAGAATATTAACTCAGGAAGAAAACAGGAGCATATATCAAAACAACAATGTTGCCTCTTTGCACATTCCAATCACCATTTATTTACTCTTGCAAGTTGAATGAGACAACTTAAAACTAGATCCAACTTGAATGTCTAGCTAAGTGTCCTGTCTTTTTTTTTTTTTAAAGAATCTACATTTGAATATACCTCCTACAGAAATTCAAATACAAAATGAGCTCTAGAGAATACCATACATACATGCTATACATTAAGCAGGAAGTAAGGATGGTAAATCTGCCTGGGGCAGGAAAATGATATAATTTTCTTCATATTCAATGGTATGGCCCTTCCTCTTCATTCTCACAAAGATTTGACCTTTGTCACAAATGTGGATGGTCCTGATCCTGCCACTCCAGAACATGGATGTTATCAAGGACAGCTGCCAGCACTCTTGGTAATAATTTCTCTTTAAATGTAAGTGATCTTTCCTTTGAACACTTTGAGTTGGGATGGATGTGTGCTCAGTCAACTATCATGGCCTCTTCAAAAACCTTTAATATTTTAGTTAACTATGATTGATAGGCCTTTTTGTCACTTCTCTCTTCTCTCTATCATAGCCATTAGTGTTTTTAAAGATGGATGTAGTATAGATGGCACTGAAACAGAGATTCATTTTCACTGACACTAAAAGAAAGCACGTTCTAGTCTAACACGTAATCTCAAAAACAACAGTTTCTTGTGGAAATTATGAACGTTGCCAACATTGCTTTATGAGTAAAGAGATCAAACTTTAAAATATAACATATTTTCTCTTAAGCAAAAGTGTGCAAATTAATAATTTTACACACACACATATATACTTATGGACACTTATGGTTCTATTGAGCAATGTTTGAATTTTAGGATGCAAAATAAATTAGACAAATTATCTAGTGAGCAAGAGACAAAATCCAGGTTCTTGTTCATGCACAGTTTTTACTGTAGGGTGAAATTTGTCTCAAAAGTGTGAGGTTCAAATTATTTATTTTTTCCAAATTCTCACTAGTTTCTATTTTGCTGGTTATGGCCTAACCTTTTTAACTTTGAGTTATTTTCAAGAGAAAATTTGAAAAAGCAGCCTTTGAGGAGAAAGAAGCAATCCAACAAGCAAAAAGATAACCACACTGTAATAGCAAATGTGTTTTGAATAGGACATTGGAAGAAAAATAGTAATCATTTTTACAGATAGATTCCGAAGTCAAGGATCTATGTTCAACCATGTATGTTCCACCATCTTCATAATTGAATGAGCAGTCATCATTAAGTAGTTAGCTTAGGCCATAATATGATACTTGGACCAAGATTTCAAAAATACCACATGCCTTCTGAGAGGTTACCCCTTTCTAGCTCCACTATCATCTAATTTTATTTAAAAAAAAAAAAAAAAAAAACGGAAAAATTTGAGCTTTTACAGAGTAGGGGCTACCATTTTGTATCCCACAGGGCCAAGGAACAAGTTTTAATTTATTCATTTAAATTAATTTCAGTATGAGTATTGAAATATATAATAGAAATATTATAACATTATATATTTTCTATATACTTTTATCATATAGAAAATATGTAATATAGAATATATTATTGCATATTGTAGAACAATATATAATATAGAAAAAATATAATATTCAGTAATAAATACTTATTAAAATAGCAAGCTTATATAGGAAGAATGATGGAGCATTGGGAGAAAGTTCAGCTTTATTTCTTTGACATTACTTTGTTTCTGTACAAACAAAAGAATTACAAGAATTTTCCTGATTATTCAAATAACTCAAAGTTGAGGAAGGAATATGAGTCAATGATGTAGAAACTCTTTTAAGATTTGAGCTAGACTACAATCTGTAAAGATCTGTGAAATTGAACTATATTTGTGCTACTTCCATATTAAGTCAAGGTAACAAATCAATATTAATAATAATAACATAGTGCTTCCTAGAACTTCCTAAAGAGTTCATTAAAGTTTTATTAGAAAGGATTGTTTATGAAGTTAAAAACCATGAGAAATTCCAGGAAAATCCACATACCTATGTCATCATACTATCAATCAGGGCAAAACATGCTTGAGTCTTTCATCAAAACTAAATGATTAAGGAGTGAGTGGTACACAACTTTTCCCTGTTCCGACCAGCTGAACACTTCCTTTTACTCCACATTTGTTTAATTGGCATGAAATTTCCCACTTCACTAAAACAGGTATTACAATTTGGACAATACAAAATATCATTTTTTTGAAAAGATTTAAGGATTTGAGGATAAATCCAAGCTAATAGAACTGAAACTCCTATGTGATGCTGGGTAGCAACCTAGTTTTCCTTACCCTTCTTCATGCTGGGAGATGAAAGAGATTCAGTTACTGCTTAAGCTCCATAGGCATACTAAGTGAAGTAGAAAACTGAGGCACATGTACCTCCATTATCTGGTATCTCATGTGGGGCTTAGAGCTAAATTGTCATTATTCAGCCTCCATTTCTGCCTTTAACCACTGGTGTAAACAAAGGTTACTGTGCCAAAGTTGGCAGCAAGCCAAATCCCTTTGGCATGTGAATTAGTTTCCTCTGCCATACTGCTAGTTCCAAATTCCTTCTGGTTTCAGGATCCTGTAGTCAGGGTTCCCTCATCTTCTCAAACGAGTTACAGTCACACACATCCCTACACACTGCATGGTTGGCACTAGTTCCTTAATACATGTTACTCCGTTTGATCCTCATGAAGGATCAAGTGGGGAAGGGAGATACTATTATCTCTGATAATAGCCCATTAAGATCTTGAGTATGTTCTACTTCCCTGTTTGACACACTGGTTTGAAAATATTGCTAAGTCCTCCCAACAATGACAGACACTCAGTGGAAACATGAAGGATTCTGTCAAACTGGTTATTTGGCATCATGTAGACCACTATTTCCCAACCTACAAGTGCATCACGGCATTTGATGTGTCAGGGACACGCCTTGGGTGTGTGTCTCAGTCTAAAGCTTCCTCCTTTTCACAAGCTTCCTGTTTCTCATCTCTCTAGCTTCTAACTGTCACTGTAATCATCTCTTACTCTTCAGCCTGATGTCAAAAGCAAAAGTTCAGAAGTTCCTCATCAATAAGGAGTCCTTGGGAGCAGGTGAAGCTCATCTAACTAGGTAAGATGAAGATCTATCACAACCAGGAGGCAGGTTGGAAGGTGCCAGTTGCACCGACAGTCAGGTGCAAGAGCTCTGCAGTGAGTCTGCCTGAGTGTCCATCCTAGATCTGTCACCTGTTGGCTCTGTGACCTTGAGCAGGTCTTAAATTTCTCTAAGCCTTTGTTTTTTTATTGATAAAATGAGGATAATAGTACCAAAATTATGGAGATTTTGAGAGCTTAAATAACATGTGAACTATTTAGAACAAGTCCTACCATAAGGACACTCAGTAGCTATTGGTTATTATTAGTTTCATACAATTTGAAAAGTTTCAAAACATTTGCAGATATAAGATGATCTTCAACCACATAGCTAATGTATGCAAAGCTATTTAGCTTCAGAAGTAAACTCTGCATTTCTAGAAGTTAAATCTTAATTTGTTATAGTAAATTATCTCTAATATTTATCTCTCGCTCACTTTTATAAGAAAAATAGTGAAAGCATTTATTAAGAACTTCTACTGCACTGTTATATAACTTAATCCTCACTATAACCCTATGAGATAGGTTACATTATTGTCCCAATTTTACTAACAAGGATATCAAGAGTCAAAGCTACTAAAACACTTGCCTGAGGTTAGACGTGTTCTTTTGTGGTGAGGCTGGACTTCAAATTTAGACCATTTGACTGCAGCACTTATATGATGAGCATGCTGTTTAGTGTTATAGTGTTAGTCTATCTTTGAACAGACATACTTTTAAACCATGACAAGGAAGTGAGACTGCACATTGAAATATGCAAAATTTGCCTTTGGGTGCCACATGAGAAATAGTCACATCACTAGAAACTAATCATAAGCTTTTTTGTTTGGTTAAAGTTTTATTTATCCATTTTTCTTGTTTACTTTGTGGGATACGGGGCTTAGCTAGGGGATAACTCCACTTTTCACTTGGCCATGGTATGAAAACCTGTCCTCTGAATCTTTAGATATTTTGGCAAATTGTAGGCAAACAAAGACTTAAAGCAATTCAGTCTTGATTACAGACCAAAAATGCCTCCATACTTGATTAAATTTATTTCATTTTAGGAACTGGATTATAATAAATACAACTTCTATATGAAAAAATAGATTAATAGTGCTCAAAGTTAGTTCACTGTATTTATTCCCTTTAACACATTATCCGCTTTCAGTGCTATTCAAGTTTTCATTAATTATTAATTATTTCATTAATCATTTTATTTCATTAATCAACATTAATAGATATAATTAATCTGTGAATATTAAATGTTTTATGCCAGGCATTTCTATGATGTGGCTGCTTTTAACAACAACTTGTTTGATCTGTGGAACTTTAAATGTTGGTGGATTCCTTGATTTGGAAAATGAAGTGAATCCTGAGGTGTGGATGAATACTGTAAGTCATGGAAAACTGTGAAGAACATCAAATAAAGCAGGACTAATGGATTATGAGGTTACAAAAGGTTCTGTTATAACATAAAATCTCTGATAAAACAGATATAATATAGATGGTTTTTGACCTCTGCAAGAGTCAAGTTAGTTAGATCTTTGGCTGAAAAACGAATACTGTCCAGTAATGGAAACCAAAATTGTGCTATTGTGCTATCTATTTATCTATCTATCTATCTATCTATCTATCTATCTATTTATCTATCTATCTCTCTCTCTCCCTCTCTCTATAGATAGAACTCCTCTTTTGAATTTATGTTTTAAGAATATCAAGCTATTTGCTGATATACGTGATTGTCTTCTATTGATCTATAGTTCTATTACTTTTAAACCAAGAGGGGCCTCAAAAGAAAATTGACTTGAGAATACAGCTTTGTCAGAAAGAATGGGTCAATGCTAAATTTTCCCCTACACTCCAAAATATTTGCCAAAGGTAGATATTTTTGAACATTCTACTTATTTTGTATTAAGACTTTATTAATTTTACAGTTACCTGGTGTTATAAATTTCAGATAATTCACCCTAATAAGCACACAATAGAGAGTTTGTTTTAATTCCTTTTTATATCCTTTGGAGAAGTTCCACTAATGACTGTATTTTTACTGGGCAGAGTGAAATCATCATCTACAATGGCTATCCCAGTGAAGAGTATGAAGTCACCACTGAAGATGGGTACATACTCCTTGTCAACAGAATTCCCTATGGGCGAAGACACATTAGGAGCACAGGTACAATATATGTCTCTCCTGAAAAGGGGACTGCACTGACATCCTCCTTCTCAGGAGGAATTTAGTGCTAGATATGCATCAACAGAGTTTATCAAAATTGGTTTGAATTATTGGATTAGACTTTAAATAGTTAACAGGGAGGCTTACTCTTTGCCTGATAATTATCTGAAGACAGACAAGAACCTAAAAATATAGACAGCAAGACTGATCTTGCTAACTGCAACCAGAGGTACTTGTTAGGGTGTAAACAGGAAGGCGGAGCCTACATTTTGTCACCTCATTACTGATTTATCATGTGAAAAATTGCTTTGTCCCAGGAAAATGGATCTCCTCATTGTCAGAAGGAGATTTGCTGGGTTGTGTGAAACTGACTGTGGGGCACCCAAGAAGAGCCTCTCCTGCCCCCACTAAAATCAAGGGGCCTCCCTCTGCAGGATAAAAAACAATCTAGTTAAATGACAACAGCATTTCTGAAAAGTTTTCCAGGACTGAAAACATTAACATCCACATACATTTGATCTAAGAGATAGATGGTTCATGGAGTGAAAGAGTATAGTGTCAATAAGGTTTGAATTCTAGAATGAGGGCCCAGCCATGCCACAGCAGGGGAATGATACTCCTTTAAAGGGAAAATTTAACTGCAAAGCCTCTGAAGAAGAAATAAGAATAAGCAAAATATATGCAATGGTTCAAAAGCAAATAATTTATTGGCAGCTGCTTACCATGTTCATTTTGCATCTTTTCTCCCACCACACATATTAAGTACCAGTTGAGGTCATGTTTGACATTCTCTCCCTCTTATATCTCCAGTTTCAGAATGAAAAATGAGAGTGAGATATGAGTAGTTTTACTAGTTAAAATATGAAACACCCAGTTAAATTTGAAGATCAGATAAACAACAAATAATTTTTTATAAGTCTCATTTTAAGATACACTCTTTATTCATTATTCACTATTATCACTATTTATAAAAATTTCGTAGAGCATCCTGGATCTTTTTGCTTACTTTTGTTTTTATTTTTTACTAAATCTGGCAATCCCAGGTACAGATGTGAAGGAGTTGTGAAATATAAAAGGAGAAAACTTTTATGGGAAAGGTTTTGCTTAAGTAGAGATAATTTTGGAAAGATTTAGAATTAAAGGTCATTCATTAGATGTAATGTTCTAAATAATTTAAATCAATTAAACCTCTCGTCAACAATATGAGATGGGTAACACTAATAGTCACCATTTCACAAATGATGAAATTAAGGCACAACCGGTTATGTTAAGAAGTCTAAAGTCACACAAATAGCAAGCTGACAGACCAGAATTTAAGCCCAGGCATCCTGGCTCCAGAGCCTGTGCTCTTAGTCATGAAATTATAGTGCCTTACTTGACCTTCCACCCTGGTTCTTTGCATCTCCCTGAATGCTCTCTCTCCCTCAGGAATCTGGAAGTTGGCAGAGGGACATTGAGCTGAGTATATTATTGTAGTTTTTAAATGCTGTCCACTGGGCAGAGGATGGGGATTTGAATAGAAATTTGGTGAGGAACTAATCAGTGTCCACTTACACTCACCTCTTCCTCCTCTCTGGAATAGCCATAGGACTTGAGTAAGCATGATAAATTTCACACCCAGGAAACTTGTATATACGAATACATAGAGCAGAGTAGTTACCAGTACAGGCTTTGACATAAAAAGAACTGGGTTTGTGTCCCTGCTCTGGCCTTCTTATCTGGGTGGCCCTCTGGGAAAGTTACTTAACTACATAAAGTTTGGTTTCCACATCTACAAAATGAGGGTTCTCAAAATAGCAGCTAGTTTATAGAGTTGTTGTAAGAATTTAGTAAGCTAATACATATAAATAGGTCAACATAGCACCAGGTACACAATATGTGCTCAAGAAACTGAAGTTACCTGATTACAGTGCTCTATACTATTGACAAGGGAAACGTGAAAACAGTTTTTGTTTTACCATGTGTGCAAGTGTGTGTATTTCTGTAATGTTTCTGACATGCTCTATTTACCATAACTCTCTCTCTCTCTCTCTCTCTCTCTCTCTCTCTCTCTATCTCTCTTCTTCCCTCTCTCATCTTACCCTTTCTCCCCCCAGGTCCCCGGCCAGTTGTGTATATGCAGCATGCCCTGTTTGCAGACAATGCCTACTGGCTTGAGAATTATGCCAATGGAAGCCTTGGATTCCTTCTAGCAGATGCAGGTTATGATGTATGGATGGGAAACAGTCGGGGAAACACTTGGTCAAGAAGACACAAAACACTCTCAGAGACAGATGAGAAATTCTGGGCCTTTAGGTAAATATTAGCTAAGAAAACTCAACAGGGAAATTGGAGGCAATTTTTTTAAAATAACGTGGGTGCTATTAATGATAATCTTTGACGCTTGAAGTCATATAGCTTCTTGTAGTTTCTGTTAACATCTCAAAGGAGGGAAACAGCAAGAAGCTTTGATTTTTCACTGATTCTCCCACAGGCAAAGTATGGCATTTCAACAAGATCACTTTTACATCCAATTTTTACATCAATTTTATGCATTAAAAGTATGTCCAAAGAGACAGCTGAGGAAATTATCATGACTAGTGTGCACATTCATTCAGCCAATGTTTACTGAGTGGCTACTGTATGCGCTGTTCTAGGCCCGGAACACTCAAACAGGGAACAGACCAACTCTCGGACCTCACAAAGCTTATGTTCATTTTAGTGATAATTTTACAAGTCATTTCTTCTGGATGACCAATCAACTGTGTAAAGATGATTTTGACCAGGACTGTACTGATTTAGAGAAACTGTGATTGAGATCACACATGGTACCATTTTCACGAAAACTCCAATATTAAGTTTTTAAAACCTTGTTAATGGGCAATGAAGAAGAATCTTTTTGATATCTTAATTGTTTCTTTTAATGGAAGAGTTTTCCACTGTCACTGGAGGACAGGCTGATGCCTGCAATAGACTTTCTTTCTTCAGGCCTAAGCTCCCTGTTGGTTTGTAAACTGGCTGTTAGAACAGAGTATGTATTCCTATTACATTAATAGAACATTCAGTACCCACTGAAAGTTTGAGAAGAGTGGAGGAATAGAATACAATGTTATGGTCAGAGTTCTTGGGCAGGGGCAAGCATCAGGAAGTATTGTATCACTAGTCTTTAGGAGGTGTCACAACAATTCTCCTATTCTTGGAAGTCCCAATCCATAGATTTCCTCACATGTCCTTTCAATAAACAGGCTTCTGGCTTATGGAATACCTGATTTGACTAAATGTTATATAGGCCCTTTTGCTCCTCCTGTCTGAAGAACAAAATACTGGTACTATGGAATATTGGAATATATGGTATATATTAAATATATATACACACACATATATATATGTATCTTTGTGGGCAGGAATACTACTAACAACATCTTAATGAATGCCTACTAGCAGCCAGAGTCATTTCTTTCATACCATTAAACCCCTTTAGCAGCCCTGTAAACCAGGCACTACCCTGTTTATTTCTCAAATGAGAAAACACAGGCTCAGAGCATTTCAGTAACTTCTCAAGAGCTGCAAAGCTCATAAATGGTAGAATCATGATTTACAAAAGCCCTGTTTCCAAAGATGGGTATTAAATGGCCCTAGGAAATTGTGAAGCCTCGTGGTGGACTCAGAAGTAGAAGCACGCAAGCCAGATGGGGAAAGGAAGGGCAAAAAAAAGCAAGAGAAGGGAAGGAAGAGGAGGAATCATAAGGTTGAACTTCAAACATCATACACAAGTCTTGAAAGTGTTCCTCTTATGAGGAAGTAAAATGTATATATGCAGAAAAACAAAAAGCTACAATAGCCTACATATAATTGGATAAATAATGAAATACACACTGAGTCTAAGTAAACAGCATAGAATCTGTGTGTAAAAAAGAAGTGAGCAAGTGCTGTGAGTTTTAAACTTAAACTTGCAAGTATTTATAAAAGCCCCTTTTTTATTTTGCAGTTTTGATGAAATGGCCAAATATGATCTCCCAGGAGTCATAGACTTCATTATAAATAAAACTGGTCAGGAGAAATTGTATTTCATTGGACATTCACTTGGCACTACAATAGGTATGTTTTTGAGGGTCAGTGTTCTCAGAGTCTTACAGGAGTTCACCTTTATGTTGGAATAAAATAACTGCTATTTATAGTGCCTTCAATTCTCTGTCCTCTGCTGGGAATAACCCTAGTACTCTGAGTAGCTATGAGTCTGCAGTGCACAGACTATATGTAAGGCAAACCTTTCCTGGGTCTCTGGTCACAGCAGCATATTGACTATGGTGATGCAATTTCCCAGGAATAACGTGTGTTCCAAATTCAAAGAAATGATTCTGCAGAGTAAGTTTCTAGATTCTCTCTGAGCTGAAAAAGTAAAATTTAATGCCATGTATTATGGCTGAAACATAATGAATGTGCATCAATCATCTCTTTCTCACAACCCAAATGGGATTTTTAAAAAATAAAAGGGAAGGGCCTATACTTATATTTAAACAAATTGAAAAGACATGGTTATATTTGTTTGTTGGAACACAAAAGTTTACTATAATAAATCAGTTGAGTTGATCTATTTAGTGTGTGATTTAGTATTTATGAAATAACAAGTAAACGTTAAGCAGTATGTAGAAATTTTTAAAGTTTTTTAAGTTGACAATTTACTTCTTAATTTACTTACTTTACTTAATTTACTTTACAATTTACTTCCCAGATAGTTTGGAAAGAAATCAATAATCTAGTTCCAAGTAAAAGTTGAAAGGAACTCATACTAATAAAAGCTTTGAATTTGTCATTTCCACTAAAGTTTCCAAATTTAAGAGAATAAATCATGTGAAAATGCAATATTTTAGTTTAGGGAAATATCTTCATTATCACCACGATCATCAGTAACATATATTAATTAGTACTTTAGATTGATAGGCACTTTCCAAGCTCAGAACAAGCAGTTAGCTAGCATCAGAGAGCATATACTAAAAAAGTGTCAAAGAACTCATAGGAGATCAAAAATGCCACTAATAGGCAAATAATTATAGTATCTAACACGTATTGAGCATTCGTGATGTGTACGGTCTTGCGTTCAGGACCTTTCCCACAGTATCTCCCTCTGATCTTCAAAACAACCCGACTGTTATTATCTCCATCTCATAGAAGAAGAAACACAAGTTCAGAACACAGATTCAAACCAGGTGTATCTGATTTCACCAATGGGGTGTGTAAGGATTCTGGAGAAATGGTGTAGAGAAGGAATGACTTTAGTTGGTTTTGGAAAGTGGGTAGGACTTAGATCTGGTCTTATACTTGATCTGAAAAAAAAGAAAAAAAAAACATGGAGAATTTGATTATTTGTGCTCTGTGTTACATTTAGGGCATAAAATTTTTTAGTGAATGTTGTTTGCGTTTTGGACAGAGCAATTTCCATTATGTAAGGAGCACCCACTCTTTGTAGGACATTTAGGTCCCAGCCCATTAAACAGGGCTCTGCAGTCAGGGTGACCCCCAAAAATCTCACCTCTGCACATTTCCAAACACCCCCTGGGGAAGTACTATTCCTGATTCAGAGTCTTTTTATCAATTGTTCAGTCAATTATTTCAGTTCTTCTTTATCTGGCCAAGACAGTTTCAATGTTTCAACAAGTGTTTCAGTACACACACACACACACACACACACACACACGCACCAGTGGAGGCCCAGGAAGGGACCTCTGGAAACCAGATTATATGGATATTCCTCCTAGCCTACCCGGTGTCGTGCTGATCTCCATCCTCACAGAGATACAAAGGGGTGCAATGCTACTGCTGAAAGAGCAAAGCAAATGGAGACGCCTGGTCCTTACTGGGCCATCATGGACACTAGGGAAACCCCTTTCTTTCTGGAAACAGGGAAGAGTCTAGAGGGTTGATAAACACCCAGAAAGCCACTGGGAGCAGTGAAATTTCATTCCACAGTGAGAAAGAAAACCTGTTGGAATAACTGGGTGATGCTGTAGAAAGAAATCAGTTCACCTCCTGTGACTGGTTATTTGCTTCCGGAAGCTCTGTGATTCGTTCTGGCATCTCAGAGTCAGGGATGAAATGAGAATGTTGCCAGCATTTACCCCATGCTTGGGAAGTGAGGTCACCTTCAGTTCACACAGTAGTAGCTACTCCGACAGCTTAACCATCACCTTTCTCCTGCCAGCTACTCCATTTCCCCTAGCCAAGTCAAATTGTCCATAAGCAGAATAAAATAAAATTGGAGACTTGAGAGCAGAGAAGACTGAAGGCAGATTATCTTTATAGAATAACTCAGAAGACTTCCAATTCATCCCCAATATGATCGCGATAGAAGGAAAAATGACTAAACAGAGCCCCATTTTTGTTAGAAACTTTGCATAAGTACTTATTTTTACAAGATTGTCTTGTCTCCTATTCTCTCAGGGTTTGTAGCCTTTTCCACCATGCCTGAACTGGCACAAAGAATCAAAATGAATTTTGCCTTGGGTCCTGTGATCTCATTCAAATATCCCACGGGCATTTTTACCAGTTTTTTTCTACTTCCAAATTCCATAATCAAGGTAGGCTCCTTTCACCAAAATGTACCTGAGGATCTCATTTTGGATCAGAAATCCTTATTATTTCCAAATCTACTGTAAAGTAAAGGTAGGAAATTTAGATAAAATCTATAGAACTTAGACTCTGTGGGCATGTGCTTGTGTATGTGTGTCTCCATGTGTGCGTATATCTGTGTCATAGTATCTGTAAGTTCTATAATACAATTTACTCTACAAGGTCATTAGCAGAGCTGAGTATCTGTCAGAATCTCTAGCTGAGCTGAGTGCTGTATGACAACAAAGATTTTTCTTGTTTTCCCAAGGTGTTTTTTTGTTCCATTTAGTCAGGTAGGTCAATGAATTCACATTGCCCAAATGAAAGACACTTCAAGTTACCCATAATCACTGATGTGTCCAATTTTGACATTAAAAAAACCTAATTAATATATTGCTTCCAATATGGAAACTTGCCCTAATTTACTAAAGCTAAGATTCCAAAGCCTAAATGTATTACAACTCAAGTATTAAGTCAAATATTTATTGGTTATTTTTCAAGAGTTGAAAAAATCATTTGGTTGCCAATTGTGGATTTGGAATTTTATCTATTAAAGAGTTTTTTTTTTTTTTTTCTCTTTGCTTTTGTTTCTTTACAAAGGTCATTGCCACAATGAACATAGCATTTAATCAAATTCAAAATTGGCCTTTGAATTTGGGATGATGGATAAAATGGATTTGGGCCAAATCTGAAGTCAAGGAGACCAGTTATAATATCAAAATAATTCATATATAAGAAAATGAGATCTTGGTTTGGGGTGGAGTGGTAGGAATGGAAAAAAAATTATTTGTGAGCTAACACAAGGAAGAATTTCCATAGGGCCTAATGATTGGTCTGATAATAGTTTCATTGTACTGTTTACTGAGAGCACAAGTGATGTAACTTCCTTATTCAAGAGCTTTTCTAGTTTATTTCAAAATGTGTTGACATCAGTTAGTTTTTAATGTTTTCTGTATTTGGGCAGCATGAGCAAACTAATTTATTAAATTAAATTCAGAGAGAGACACATCTATCTGTAAATACATATATGTGTTGTATGTGTTGCTCTTCCTACATAGGTCAGCCATAAGGCAAATAATGTTCCTGGGTTATCTCAGTTTCACATTTCCCACTGTCAATATTCCTGCTACTTTCAAGTCCCATTTCCTGCTCTTTTCTTCCATCAGTTTCCCCCAGAAGCTCTAAGACTCCACCAGGAATCCCCATCCAAGTTTACTTTCCCAAGTCCCGGAAGTTTCAATTGTGCTGCCTTTGCAACATTATCATATCTTTTCTGTTCAATGGTTCCTTCTCTTTGGTTCGCCATTCTCTACTTTTCAGCCTGAGAGCTGGCTAATCTGGGACAGTACTCGAATGCAATGTGCACATGGGTAACATGGAAAACCCCGATTTTCCCTCATATTCAAGGTATTATTTGACCTTAAGAAAAACTGTTTTACATTTTGTACCAATTAATGAGAAAAAATATTGGCAAGCACTGACTGGGCAGCATACAGGGAAGCTTCACTATGGAGAAGTGAATTTGGGATTGACAGCCTTTATTGCAATCTCCTTGTAAGTAATGTTTGATAATCTTCCTCATTTGGAGATACATTCCTAAGTCACCTTTCCTGAATAATTTGGTCTCCTTGACTGAATCAGTAGTACAAATAGATCCCCAAGCATGGCTCTTTCCTAGAAGGAAGGAAATGTCAAGAAGTCTGAAGATGATTCTTGAATTCTGGTTTTTTGCTCTTGCTATTTGGGCTTCTTGTCATTGTTGTTGTTGCTATTGAGTTGAGCTCCCTAAATATTCTGGTTACTAATCCCTTGTAATATGCATAGTTTGCAAATATTTTATCTCATTCAAAGGTAATTATTATTTACTTTCATAGGCTGTTTTTGGTACCAAAGGGTTCTTTTTAGAAGATAAGAAAAAGAAGATACCTTCTACCAAAATCTGCAACAATAAGATACTCTGGTTGATATGCAGTGAATTTATGTCCTTATGGGCTGGATCCAACAAGAAAAATATGAATCAGGTATATGTGATAATTATAGGGCCATTTGATACCTTAAGAAATTCCAGCTTTCCTTTGACTCATTTTGATGTATCTATTTACTGTATAAATTCATATGGTATTCCAAACACTTAAAGACAGATTTTATTTTTGCTTTTAAAAATGTTTATGGGTATATAATAGTTGTACATATTTATGAGGTACATGTGATATTTTGATATAAACACACAATGTGTAATGAACAAGTCGGGGTAATTAAGATATCCATCACCTCAAGCATCTATCATTTCTTTTTGTTAGAGACATTCTAATTTGACTCTTCTAGTTGTTTTAAAATATATAATGAATTATTGTTAACTATAGTCATCCTATTGTGCATGGTGGAATTTATTCCTTCTAATGGTATTTTTGTACCCATTAACTAATGCCTCTTTGTCCTTCCCCCATCCCTACTACCCTTTCCAGTCTCTGGTAACCATCATTCTACTCACTATCTCTATAAGGTCAGTTTTTTTTAAACTCCCCTATGTGAGTGAGAACATGCAGTATTTGTCTTTTTATACCTGACTTATTTCACTTAATGTAATGTCCTCCAGTTTCATCCACATTATTGCAAATGACATGATTTCATTATTTTTGTGGCTGAATAGTATTCCACTGTCAAAATGTACCACATTTTATTTATCCACTCATCTGTTGATGGACACTTAGGGTGATTTCATATCTTGGTTATTGTGAATAGTGCTGTAGTAAACATGGGGGTGCAAATGTCTCTTCCATGGATTGATTTTTTTTTTTTTTAATATAGAACTAGCACTGGAATTGCTGGATCATATGGTAGTTCTACTTTTATTTTTTGAGGATCCTTCCTACTCTTCCCCATAGTGCCTGTACTAATTTGCATTCCTATCAAGTCTGTGAAAGGGTTTTCTTTTCTCCACATTCTTGCCAGCATCCATTATTCCCTATCTTTTTGATAAAAGCTGTTTTAACTGGAATAAGATAGTATTTCATTGTAGTTTTGGTTTGCATTTTTCTAATGATTAGTAATGTTGAACATTGTTTTTAATGTACCTCTTGGCAGTTTGTATTTCTTTTTTTGAGAAATGTCTATTCAGATCTTTTGCCCATGTTTAATCAGATTTGTTGTTGTTGTTGTTGTCGTTGTTTTGCAATTGAGTTATATGACCTCTATATATTCTGGTTACTAATCCCTTGTCAGATAGGTAGTTTACAGATATTTTCCCTCATTCAACACGTTGTTACTTCACTTTGTTGACGGTTTCCTTTGCTTTGCAGAAGCTTTTTAGCTTGATGTAATCTAATTTGTTAATCTTTGCTTTGGTTGCCTGTGCATTTGAGGGCTTACCTCAAATTGGTCCAGACCAATGTCCTGGAGTGTTTCTGCAATTTTTGTTTGTTAGTAGTTTCATAGTTTCAGGTCTTAAATTTGTCTTTAATCCATTTTTATTTTGTTTTTGTATATAGCAAGAGATAGAGATCTAATTTCATTCTTCTGCATATGGACATCTAGTTTTCCCAGCATCATTTCTTGCAGAAATTGTCCTTTCCCCAATATATGTTCTTGATGCCTTTGTGGAAAATTAGTTGACTATGAATGTATGGATTTATTTCTAGGTTCTTTATTCCGTTCTATCCGTCTATGTGTCTGTTTTTATGCCAGTATCATACTGTTTTGGTTATTATAGCTTTGTAATATAATTTGAAGCCAGGTCATGTGATGCCTCCAGCTTTGTGCTTTTTGCTCAGAATCTTATATTTAGAAAAACCTAAAGACTCCAACAAAAAACCTGCTAGAACTGATGAACTAATTCATTAAATTTGCAGGATACAAAACCAACATACAAAATTCAGCAGCATTTCAATATGCCAACAGCAAATAATCTTTTAAAAAAAAGAAAGAAAAAATCAAGAAAGTAATCCATTTATAACAGCTACAAATAAAATAAAACACCTAGGAATAAACCATACCAAAGAAGTGAAAGATTTCTACAATGAAAACTATAAAACACTGATGAAAGAAATTGAAAATGACATTAAAAAATGGAAAGGTATTCCATGTTTATGGATTGCAAGAATCAATATTGTTAAAATGTCCATACTATCCAAAACAATCTATAGATTCAATGCACTCCCTATCAAAATACCTATGACATTCTTCATTGAAATTTAAAAAAAGCCTAAAATTTATATGGAACCATGAAGGTAGATATCTGCTATACATAGAAGATCAGGTACTCAACAAACCTTGAATATGAAGACTGGGGAAGTGAATAGGCAGCTTCATTCTTCTATTCCCTGGCAAAAGTTAGGAAAATGAATGTTTTATAATGGGTAGTAGCTTCTTACATGTTCTCAGTCAGCCACAACTTACTACAGTCAATTTGAATTTATTGCATTTGAATATATTGCATTAAAAATAAAATCCTAAAAAAGGAGAGCAGCACAGATAAACCTTGATCTTATTTCACATGTTCCTTCCTTTGCGGGTGACTTTTGTTTTGAAATGAAACTCACCACTTAACCTACAAAATAACAGGACAGGGTGGAAGGGAGATGGGATCCCCTCTTTATGAAGCAGCAGCAGTGCTGTTTTATCACCTCTTCATTTTCTGTTATTGAGAATTCAAGAAGAAGGAGGAGGAAGAGTTCACATCCGCAGACTGGTGTGGTTGAATAGTTGTCTCTAGTATTCCAAATAGCAGCCAATGAGGCTGTTACAGTGAAGTCAGTCACAAGATAATTGTTCTGTACCCCTATTCTCTAAGAAGCTAAATTGTGTTAGACTGAAACCCATAAGGAACCATTGTTCAAAGTTGGCTTGTTCAAAAGTAAAGATTTTTAATAGTTTCTCTTAGATTCATTATTTTCTAAGACATAGAATTACGATTACTATTTTATCTCTATAATTTTCATCTCTATAATGTTTACAAATATTGAAATAACCTTTGGAAAAAAATGGCTTTTAGCTTTACTTTTGCAATATTTTATTTTATCCCCATAAAAGCCTAGTAAATTGGTAGTATGACTTTTAGTATGTTCATTTAATAGATGAAAAAACAGAGACTCAAAGATGTTAAATATGGTGGCCAAGTTCACGAAGCTGATCATTAACAACAACAGGGCCTGAACTCCTGGTTTTCTGATCTAATCTGTGACAGTGCACCTGGGTGCGCATGCACGCATCACCCCCACACTTGCGCATAGAACCTTTCCTAATTGGCTTTGCTCCATGATGACCACTACTGTTCCTTCTACTTGAAAATAAGCAAAATTATCCTACAGATTCAGAGCTGGTACAGGTTTGCTGTCAAGCAGTCCATTCCATTAGTCAGCCTGTGGTTCGTTCACATTCAAGTATTGACATAAATGGTAATTTATCTAGATAATTCTACCTCGTTATTTTCGAAGCCCCATTCTTGTTTGCTTCTTCTGTGCATCATTTTTCTGATTCTGAAAGGCAAAATTTTGTTGGGCAATTGCTGTAATATGAGTTTTATCTCCTTTAGAGTCGAATGGATGTGTATATGTCACATGCTCCTACTGGTTCATCAATACAGAACATTCTGCATATAAAACAGGTAGAGTCTTAGTCATGGAAAACCATTCCAATCCTTATTTTCAAAATATTTAAAAAGACAGAATTGATCCTGTTAACAGGCCTACCCTAAGAATCTTAAAAGCTTGTTTCCAGTTTGTCCTTGCTGCCTTCTGTATGCCTTGATTTCCCTGGAATTTAAGAGAAAGGATTTTATGGTACAGACCAAGTAGATGACATAAATGAACACCATCTTAAATCAGAGTTTTTAAAATAGGCCCTGAACTGAAGCAAGAGGTAAACTAGGGAAGCCTCAGGAGAACTGAGACTTCTTCAGAGAGAAGTATCTGGGATTTAACTTCTTTCTAATGAGGCTTGGTTTTCCATGAACTTTTCCTTTAAACCAAAGGGGGGTTATTGCTTGTTTTTCTGTTGAGCTCCACTTGTCATAATTGTAAAATGGGTATTTACATCCTTCTGGTGATCTAGGAGCCCTATTTTCTTCCTAGCATACAGTATTTTTCTAAAATTTGCTGTTAGCTCTCATGATTCTTACCCTCACTATTCTTTTTCTAAAAAACATTTGTTTCAGCTTTACCAATCTGACGAATTCAGAGCTTATGACTGGGGAAATGAAGCCGATAATATGAAACATTACAATCAGGTGAGCTACTTACAGTAACCCCAGAATGCTGATTTTGATAAATTATACTAAAAAATTATATGAAGGTGGAAAGACTCCTACCTGTCATTTGGTGGCATTTATACTGATAGAACTTTTTTTTTAAAAAAAGTTTAATTTTAATTTAAATTTATTTCAGAAAATTTATAAATTAAAGAAGCATATACAAAGGAAATTAGATCATGTGTAATCTTTCCATCCAGAGATAACTAGATGTACTAACATTTTGGTGTATTTATTCCAATTTTCTCAGTATTATATCGCTTTTATACAACTTTTAATCCTTCTATTTTACTTAAGCTATAGTCAGAGATGACTAACATTACTGAGGGTTTTTAAAATATATTTTTAATGGCTACATAATAATATAAATTGTTTCATAAAAATCTTTACAGCATAAATGAATATACACTTTTTAATGCCAACAGAAAAATTAGAATTCCACATGAAAGTTGAATAAGTATTACCCAACATTGAAGACTTGGGTCATAAGGCATCTTTTTCCATATAGCTTTAAGACATAAAAATCTGTAGACTCATTTAGCACTGTACTTTTAATTAATCCTGTCACCACTTTTCTGTTCTCATAACTAGGGGCTTGGCTTGTATGTATGAACTAAACAAATTAAATTGTTTTAAGTATTTTCCCAGGCTATCATATTTTAAGCTATTTACTAGTGCAACTATACATCAATTATTAATAAGTTGTTTCTGAGGATCAAAACAATCAGACTAATCAATTTCTCAGTAATGAATTGGCCTGTTAGAGGAATAGTTCTATTAATCCTTAAAACCACTACAAGAGATAGACCATGTATGTTTTATTTTTAAAAATCAGTTGAAGACATGATTTACATATAATAACATTACCAATTTTATGTGTCCCATTAAATGAGTTTTCACAAATATAACTATTTGTGTAACCACACCACAATCTAAATATAGGACATTTCTATCACCCCTAAAAGTTTTTTCCCTGCTGCTGACACTATTTTTAGACACAAATGCATGTATTTGCAAATGCTTAGAAAAGGTCTAGAAAAAAAAGAAATGTTAAAGTGGTTATCTTCAGAGAGAGGAAGAAAGAAGAAAAGAAGTGGATGGACATGAAACAGTAAGGGACTCTCATTTTGGACTTCACATATGTCTGTTTTCTTCCATTATTTTTAATAAACATGTTATATTTATAAATTGTTTACATTTACAAGAAACTAAAACAAAATAAACACACACATTCAAGATCATTATGGTCAAGTACTAAAGTATGTGAGAGTGTTAATGTCCTTAGAATTTATCCACAGTTAGCTGGTCCTACTCTGCTCCAAGCCAGTCCTATTTTGTGAGTTAATCTTAGTTGATGCCAATTTTTATTACATTCCCTCCAAAAAACTAGTCTCAACAGTTTGCTCTCTCCTCAAGTTCACAGCATTATCTCTGTTCCCACAGTGATGTCTGACTTTTCTTTCCGTTTGTGATTGTTCCCTTTGTCCCAAGCACTGGCTACTCCTCCTCTCACCGCTCTGAAATGATTAGCATTCCCCAGGGATTCTTCAAAACTCTCTTTCTTCCTTGGAGAAGTCAGCCATCCCAATAGCTTTAATTTGGAACATTTCTACTACTCATCTAGATTTTTTCAGGACTTGCCTTCAACCTGTTCTTTCTTTAGGTGATTCCATTAACTGTTGCCCATACGGTAGTCTGAAGACAGACCTCTGAGAAATGACCCTACCTTGTCTCCAAAACTTCCGAAATATATCCAAATTTCCTAGCCTGACATTCAGACCTTGACTATCTGCCTCCAAGTTTATGTCCTATCACATCCCCTTACATATTCTGTTCTCCAGGTATATTGGGAATCTTGCCATTCCTGATTATAGCCTACAAACTCTTCCTGTCTCCCACCCACCCTCATCTCTGCTGTCAAAATGCAACCTTCCCTCAAGAGTCATTTCACAGGACCCCTCTTTTTATGAAACCCTCAGGTGGAAATAGCTTTTTGTCTCTACTTCCATTTTATTTTGGGAGTGTTTATGGCATTTAACATACCTTACTTTGTATACAAATATTTGCTTAGCTATCTTGCCTTTCTCCCTCTTTTGCAAATTTCTTAAAGGTAGAGACCATTGTATGTTTTCTTTCTATGTCACTGGTGCCTAACACAACTATGGCCATAGTCCATATTCATTTAGCAGTCTTTGTAGTTATTGCTTTGAGGAGCTTCCTCTCATGTATGACCTTGCTTTCTCTCCTACAGAGTCATCCGCCTATATATGACCTGACTGCCATGAAAGTGCCTACTGCTATTTGGGCTGGTGGACATGATGTCCTTGTAACACCCCAGGATGTGGCCAGGATACTCCCTCAAATCAAGAGTCTTCATTACTTTAAGCTATTGCCAGATTGGAACCACTTTGATTTTGTCTGGGGCCTTGATGCCCCTCAACGGATGTACAGTGAAATCATAGCTTTAATGAAGGCATATTCCTAAAATGCAATGCATTTACTTTTCAGTTACAAGTTGCTTCCAAGCCCATAAGGGACTTTAGAAAAAATAGTAACCAACAATGATGTTGTCCCCCTGGGGGAGATGCACAATGGAGTCTGTTTTCTAAGTTAATTGTGTTAGTGTTATTTATGTTTAGAGATATCTTTGCATGGGACCATCTACAGGTCCTTATAAACAATGAGGTAGATTGGGCAAAAAAATAAATAAGTTGCCACTCTGATATTTAAGTCTAATTAAATTGTAATTTTTAGGGCGTACCATGAAGTATAGAAATGTCTAAAGCTTCAAAGGAACAGTGAAATTCCTTTAAGGTCCTATATGGAAACCTCTATTGTCATTTTATTTATATGGGTTGCTACGGCAATGGACAGAGTGTGGGATTAGGAGGAGGACCTGTAGCTTCTTTATAAAAGTTTCTTAGCTATCCTGAAGATGTACTAGACATTTTTATTTTTTAGGTATTTTCAACATGAGAAATTCAAAAAAGTCCCCAAAGATTCTTCCAGAGAAGCCATCTCCTCTTATAATGTTATCCCTGGCTATCTGGGTAAACGGAATCTTGAACCCATAATAGGATACATGTATAAAATCTTTCTTATTTAAGCAGAAATAAATTCTGCAACATCAATATCATTTTATAATCATAGGGAGGCTTCTTTGTTTAGCATGTAATGCCCCCTTTACAGACTTTTTGTTCTTTGAGGGATTTGAACATTCCATGAAAAACTGACAGATAGGAGATTAAGCTAAAGATAGAAGCAGAAACTACTAGGCTAGTTAGTCTCTAAACATTAAGCATTTTCTTCCTCCATCTTAAAGGCAATGAGAAGCCACCAAAATATTTCACCTAACAGAAACCTGATCGCCATATTTTTGTAATGATCACTTTGGCTGCTGCATAGAAAATGGATTAGAAGATGCCAACAAAAGATTCTGAGCAAGTTTGTAAATCTGATCAAGTGTTCTGATGCAAGCCGATATCCTTCCTCTGTGCTCTCTAACAGAGATGATCCTTGGAAAATTCAGAGCCAGCTCCATAATACTGCCGTGCTCTGCTGGCAAATCCACAAGCTGCTGGCCCCTGGAGCCATTCTTCTCTCAAAACTAGCATTCATCAATTTAATGTGTATGTATTGATGGGGAATAATGGTCACTATGAAAACCATGTGATAATATGGAAAAATACCCATGATATAATGTTGTGTGTGAAGAGAAGAAAATGAAACTGGTAGAACTATGTGATTGCAAATATATATAAATATTAAAACAATTATATGACTTTATAAAATATTTGTATACAATGAAAACTGAAGCAATATAAAAAATAAAATTAGTTGTGTCAGGGTAGTAACATGAGTGATTTATTTATACTTTTAAATTTTTAATATAGTAATGATATAATGTTACAACTTGTCTAAATCTCACAAATTTAACATTCAGTAAAGGAAGATAAACATAAAAGAATACATATTTTATTATACATTTTTATGTAGGCTAAATAATTGATGACTCTAGAAGCCTTAAAAAGCTTACTTTCAGGAGGAGAATCATGCCTTGGAGGGCTCTAAGGTCCAGAAACTGTCCTAATACTAGAGCTAGGTGCAGTCAGATTAATTATAATACATTTCATTATTTTGTCTGGAATACCAAGATAACTTCCAACCAGGAATGGAGTCTAGCAACGCTTTACTGCTGGGGAACTTGGCCACAGACTTGTAATACAAATTTTTAGATATGTTGACAATGTTTCTCCTTATTTTTCTTACTTATACAAACCAAGAAATTTGACTCACCACCTTGAAACAGACTCACCAGGTTACTCTAGTTTCCCAAGCTTCAATATCCCATTGCTATTTTTTTTTATTATTATTATTATACTTTAAGTTCTAGGGTACATGTGCATAACGTGCAGGTTTGTTACATATGTATACTTGTGCCATGTAGCTGTGCTGCACCCATCAACTCGTCAGCACCCATCAACACGTCATTTACATCAGGTATAACTCCCAATGCAATTCCTCCCCCCTCCCCCCTCCCCATGATAGGCCCCGGTGTGTGATGTTCCCCTTCCCGAGTCCAAGTGATCTCATTGTTCAGTTCCCACCTATGAGTGAGAACATGCGGTGTTTGGTTTTCTGTTCTTGTGATAGTTTGCTAAGAATGATGGTTTCCAGCTGCATCCATGTCCCTACAAAGGACACAAACTCATCCTTTTTTATGGCTGCATAGTATTCCATGGTGTATATGTGCCACATTTTCTTAATCCTGTCTGTCACTGATGGACATTTGGGTTGATTCCAAGTCTTTGCTATTGTGAATAGTGCCGCAATAAACATACATGTGCATGTGTCTTTATAGCAGCATGATTTATAATCCTTTGGGTATATATCCAGTAATGAGATGGCTGGGTCATATGGTACATCTAGTTCTAGATCCTTGAGGAATCGCCATACTGTTTTCCATAATTGTTGAACTAGTTTACAGTCCCACCAACAGTGTAAAAGTGTTCCTATTTCTCCACATCCTCTCTAGCACCTGTTGTTTCCTGATTTTTTAATGATCGCCATTCTAACTGGTGTGAGATGGTATCTCATTGTGGTTTTGATTTGCCATTGCTATTTTTAATAGAACAAGGTAAACAATAACATTAATGTCATTCAACACAAATTTATGTCAAATGTAAATTCTGACTCTGAACTTCGGTGAATTTCTTTCAAACGGTATAATCAGTTTCAGAGAGGCAAAGTCTTGCTCAAGTGACGGCCTTTCTGAGACTCATTAACCAAAGAACAAGGGACCTGTTTCACCATCAGGGCTTTGTTCAACTTTGATCACCTCTGCATTCTCTTCTCATAGGAAGGTTTCCCATATTTACCAAGGTCTGGCCACAATACCAGAAATGTTTTCTGTGAACTATATGCCCTAGAATTACCATTCCTTCTTCTAAATCACTTTTTGTTTTTGTTTTTTGTTTGTTTGTTTGTTTGTTTTTTGAGACGGGGTTTCACTCTTGTTGCCTAGGCTGGAGTGCAATGGTGCAATCTCAGCTGGCTGCAACTTCCGCCTCCTAGGTTAAAGCAATTCTCCTGCCTTAGCCTCCTGAATAGCTGGGATTACAGGCGCCCATCACTACGGCCAGCTACTTTTTTGCATTTTTAGTAGAGATGGGGTTTCACTACGTTGGCCAGGCTGATCTTGAACTCTTGACTTCAGGCAATCCGCCTCGCCTCGGCCTCCCAATATGCTGGGATTACAGGCATGAGCCACCGCGTCCAGCCTAAATCACTTTTTATTATGCTTCCGAATTACCTTTTTGGAGAGTTTTATGTAAGTCTACCGCCCTAATACATTTTAAGTAGCTTGAAAACAGAAGCAATTAAGACATAGAACTCTCCATTACCACACTAAATTCACTCTTGCTATTCCTTTTTGGTCAACCACCACTACTACCATGACCAGCTCTCCTTGAACTTGATCCCTGACAACTTATCTGTTCTCCATCGCTATAATGTCTTATAAATAAAATCATGGAGTATGTGTCCTTGATATTGGCTTTTTTCACTTAGCATGATGTCCTTGAGATCTATCCCAATTGTTTCTTATATCGTTTATTCCTCCTTATTGCTAAATAGCATTCCACGGTATGCATGCCACAGTTTGTTTAACCATTCACTCACTGAAAAACATGTGGGTTATTTCCAAGTTTTGGCTTCATCTTTTTGGCTTTTCACTGCTTAGTGACATGTCTTGAAAATAAAAAGAACACTCAGTTCAGATTCTTTAATTTGAATTAATTGCATGTCCCACTCAAAGCTAAATTTTCTGTGCTAACACCTTCTGTAATCTGTACACTGCCTCAAAGGGAAAATATGTTACTCAAGCCAGAGTTCCCATTGACTTGACTACACAATCCCTGATTCATATTTTAATTTGACATTTAGAGATCGCAAAACAGTGACCCGGTTCTCATTACATTTTAGAGTTCTAATGTGATTTAAGAAGTGCTTTGGAGTCGGGTGAAAACAGATTGCTAGTATTTATACCTTGACTGACTACGAAGGCCTTCCTCCAGCCATTGTCAAGATGTGACATGTCTTTAGCTCTGTCCAAACCGCCTTCGGTATCATCGTATCTCCCACACAACCAAACCAAATGAAAATAATCATAATCATAACAGTAGTGTACCATCATTAAAAATCTACATGAAGTATTAATATAAATAAAAGCACGAACAATTTTTAGTATATAGATATAAAAAGGTAAATTCTATAAAAACAGTATGCTTTCTATGGAATGCACCTTCAAGAAAATTTCATCATTCTCCTGCATTCTACTTCCTATAAGACTGTCCATAAATTCCATTTATGGAGAAATTCTGGAGTCAAACCTTTCTTCTTTTTGTACCCTCTATGCATATTTGCCATTTTAGTTTGTGTGTGAATTTCTTTCCTTATCAAAGCAGTCAACTTAGCTAAGAAAGATTATTAATTTGGGATATGATGTGGTCTTAATAAATTTAATCAAAGTAAGCACTTTTATAGTTTTTGATAGCACAACAGGATGACTATAGTCAATAGTTTAATTGTACATTTAAAAATAACTAAGAGTATAACACAAATAGTATCCTTTGTGTTACAAACGAGAAATGCTTGAGGTGATGAGTACCCTATTTACCCTGATGTGATTATTACATATTGTATGACTGTATCAAAGTATCTCATATATCCCATAAATATTTATACACCCACCACTATATGCCTCCACAAAAATTAAAAATTAAAAACAAAATAAGCACTTAAAAATATCTTCTACATTCTGCCACTCTACCCCTACCTCAAAGAAAAGATCCCTGGAAACTCTAGGTAATGAAAATCTGGTCCTAGAGTCTATGAAAATATGACATCAACAGTGTGTGGTTCAAAGCATTCTGAACATTCAAAACAGAAGCAAACAAATCAGTATTGGGGTGAAGCCAAGGGAAA